GAACGATGCAAGTGGCAGCGAGGAAAGGTCAAGCGAGTGGTGGAGGGTAAACAGGAGCACAGGGAGGGAGAAAATAGAGAGGAATACAGATGTGTGAAGGAGAAGTAGAGCAAGAGAAAGCAATGAGAGGGGAGCAAGAGGCATAAACAAGCAGTAGAGGCGAGGCAGCAGCAGGCGGTGTTTTATGTGTGTCAAGGATCCTGCCATCTGGAGATCATACACAGAGCACGGTGATCACTCACTCACTCACTCACACACACACACACACACACACACACACACACACACACACACACACACACACACACACACAAACGTGATGTGGTGGAGGCTGACTCCATACACAGCTTCAAGTGTAGATATGATAGAGCCCAATAGGCTCAGGAACCTGTACATTAGTTGATTGACGGTTGAGAGGCGGGACCAAAGAGCACCAGCTCAACCCCCCGCAAGCACAGCTAGGTGAGTACACGCAAACACAAAGCAAGCGCCCTAAATGCCTCCTTACTTAGGTTTCTGAATGACGATGCAACTTTAACTAGCGTAGAGTACGCTGCTGTCGATATCCTATTTATGTGTACTGGCCCTTTAGTCGCCCGTCACCTAGTCCTATTCCCATACCTTTACACTTGCTCGTGTTGAACTGCAATGGCCATTTCCTGTGCGGTACTGTATCAAAGGCTTTTTGGCAGTCCAGAAATATGCAGTCTACCCATCCTTCCCTGTCCTGCCTTATTCTTGTTGCTTTATTAGGCAAGATTTCCCCTCCCTCTCTTCCCTGATCCCATGTTGGTGGTTATGTCCCTAATTCTTTCTACAATCGTACGCGCGTGCATGCGTATGGGTGTGTGTGTGTGTGTGTGTGCGCGCGTGAGGAGTGTGGCCGCGCATGACAGTGGTAGTGAGGGGTTCCCCTGCAGGAGGGAGGAATACATCTGGTTATTGGTGCAGGGAGGCGGCATGCGTTGGGGGGGTGGGCAGACGGGCTCCCACGTGCCCAAGATGCCGCCCCGCCTCCCGGGCCCTGCACGTGGCTCTTGCTTCGTCTTCACTGGACGCCTTAACCTCAACATCGTTGCCCTTAAGCTGATTGATAATTTCCTTATTAGGCACAGGAAGATGTATATGGATGGTTAATATTAGCGATAATGTGTGTCGCGGGTGTGTGTGTGTTGAGGAGAGTGGTAGATGTGGTTGGCGGGTCGTTTCTGAAGTAGTGACGTAGTCGTAGGGCGGAGGTGAGGGTCGAGACGCGCCATACCAGACATAGCTCGGGTCGGCCGCAGCCCCCTGCGTCTTGCTGCTCTTCCCTGCTGCTGCTGCTCCTGCTGCTGCTGCTCCTGCTCTTCCCTGCTGCTGCTGCTCTTCCCTGCTGCTGCTGCTCCTGCTGCTGCTGCTCCTGCTCTTCCCTGCTGCTGCTGCTCTTCCCTGCTGCTGCTGCTCCTGCTCTTCCCTGCTGCTGCTGCTCTTCCCTGCTGCTGCTGCTCCTGCTGCTGCTGCTCCTGCTGCTGCTGCTCCTGCTGCTCTTCCCTGCTGCTCCTGCTCTTCCCTGCTGCTCCTGCTCTTCCCTGCTGCTGCTCCTGCTCTTCCCTGCTGCTGCTCCTGCTCTTCCCTGCTGCTGCTCCTGCTCTTCCCTGCTCCTACTCTTCCCTGCTGCTACGACATACATAGACGCGATAAAGCACCTGAATTATTGGGACCATCCCAAAGCTCTCCAAATGTGACTTGTGAACCTGCTCCTGGACGCAGGTTCGAATCCTCGTCACGGCCCTTGTGGATTTGTTCTCTCCAAATGTACTCGCTAGAAAGGAGACGAGAGAGAGATATCAAATAATATACACGTGGAAAATACTGGAGGGCCAAGTCCCAAATCTACACAGTAAAATAACAACGTACTGGAGTGAACAATATGGAAGAAAATGCAGGATAGAACCAGTGAAGAGCAGAGGTGCCATAGGCACAATCAGAGAACACTGTATAAACATCAGAGGTTCACAGTTGTTCAACATCCTTCCGGCGAGTATAAGGAATATTGCCGGAACAACCGTGGACATCTTCAAGAGAAAACTAGATAGTTTTGTATAGAAGTGCCGGACCAACCGGGCTGTGGTGGATAAGTGGGCCTGCATGCCGCTCCAAGCAACAGCCTGTTGGACCAACCTCTGAAGTCAAGCCTGGTCCCGGGCCGGGCTTTGGGGGGTAAGAGAACTCCCAGAACCCTATCAAGTAGGTATCCAGCAGGTGCTCTTCCTTGCCGCTACTACGTCTTGCCTGACCTCACCCAGACGGCCTCCTACTCCCCAGCCTGAAAGTTACAATGAATAACGTAACCACAACTTACATATTGTAGCGGCGGGTCTTGTTGCTGCTGCTCTTATAATGAGTGTTGTTAGTGGGACTTGTTTCAGGTGCGAGCACCACCTGTGCTCGCCACGCCACCAGTCTTAGTGACTCGGGAAGCCTGACGCAAAGTCAGCTGCTGCAGAATCTCAATATTACCAATGCTAATGAAGTTGGTGTTAGTGTGTTGAAGGCGGCGTCGCGGGGGACGCTTGGTGGCCCTGGAGAGGTGTGCCAGGCCCACTACCACCTCTGGCAACCCATTACAGAGCCCTGCGGCGCAACCTGTCCTCTTAAAAAGAACGTCGCTTTTGGCCGTTTGCCCGTATGGCCGAATTTGGACGTAATTTGAAATTGAAAAAAAAATTAAAATAAATGTGGGATTTTTTTTTTCACCAACAGTAAGTTAAGGGTCCTGTGATAGGTTAGGTGGGCAGGAAATTCTCATAAAGTTTCAAAACGTTATGAAAAACGTTAATTTAAAGTGTCCTCTTATAACCTCTGCGCGTAAGCCGGACGACTCAAATAGAAAACGGAACAGAACGTCACTTTTGTGAGTCGATTTCATTTCAAATTACGTCCAAATTTAGCCATATCGCGCATACGAGCCAAAAGTGACGTTCTTTTTAGGAGGACGGGTTGCTGCGGCGCACCGCTCGTTACCGCTCTCCGTCCTGGGTCTGTCTCTCTCTCTCTCTCGCAAAGACCCTCTTCGTCCCAGTAGGTAACTGCACACACCATACGACTTTGTTTATCAGCGCAGTTCTCAGTCTTAAAATTATATTATGGGGACTGTATCAACAGCCTTCTCAAGATCTAAGAATGTGCAGTTCACCTTTCCCTCCTAAGCTTTCCTCATCATTTATTTGTACTATATGCTTTAGACAACTGTATGACCGAACCCGGGTTGTTTCTCAGTTACAATAGTCGTAACTTCGTCTCTTCAGTTTCTGACGTGAGATTTGGTCGTCATGACCCAGATGAACAGAATATATGGGATCAGTGTAAATCCTATGCAAGGAGAACAAACAAGAATGAGAAAGAGCAGAGGTTGCCTCCATCCGTAGTTTTACAAGTAGATATGACCAAAGAAGAAAGAGTCAGGACTGACTGCATTACACAACAGTCAGTTGGAATGACGTGGACCGAGCACTCAACACGTTATTGTAAACTCTGTTACGTAACAACTGTTAGATAAGCACACACTTATTTCCCTCCCGAGAGCAAATATCTCGCACATGTTGACAGTCGCGGCATTCTTGGCATGTTTGAGGTCACTCCTCACCTAATTATACCTGCGGGGGTGGAGCTTCGACTCTTTGGTCTCGCCTCGCAACTGTCAATCAACTGGTGTACAGGTTCTGATGCCTACCCCCCCCCCCCCCTCCCCCTATCCCTGACTGGCAGCCAACCCTAGCCACTAAACGGGAGCCAGCGGATGTTTGAACATCAATAATCCCAGAGTTATTTGCTTGTCGGGACCAGTCCCGTTCAGATTCCCTTATTCTACTTTAATTATCACAAAGGAGGGTGAGAGAACGTTATTATACAACTCCAGCCATTGCGTGGGGTGGAGTGTGACTGGCGGCGTCGTGGCCAGCTGGCGGGAGGGTTGGGCGAGAAGCAGCCCGACACCTCCTGCTTCCGCTCTCCTCAACCTTCAGCAGAAAATGAAGGCTGCCATCATCCGTGATTCATCAGCATCGCTGCTAGCAAATACGCATCCCATGGTGGGACTGTGATTACCTGCTGGCCTGGGCTTGTTACTGCTGCTGCTGCTAGTGCTGCTGCTGCTACTGCTGGTGGTGGTACTGCTGCTGGTGGTACTGTCTGTTGGTTGTGGTGGTGGGGGTGTGTGTGGAGGTGGTGGTGGTGGTTGTAGGTCACGCCAACATTCCTGCAGGTGTGGCGCGTCCCTGAGTCCTGGGAGCGACCTTCCCTCCCTACACTGGCCAGGCTGCTTCCCTTCTCCATCCTCCCTCCGCGCCCCTTTGTCTCTTACACTCTTCTAATGCACTCTTGCCAAGTCTCGTTCGCAATACCTGTGTGTGTGTACTATTCATATTATTTATTTGTCATTTATGATTGCAAGATCGAGCTATTAGCTCTTGGGCCCCGCCTTTCTAATCATTGGTTGTCTAATGTTGTCTAATGTAATCTCTCTCTTTAAACGATTCTTCGCGGCAGGGGGTCGTATTCCAGGGACCTGCCCGAAACGCTACGCGTACTAGTGGCTGTACAAGAATGTAACAACTCTTGTATATATCTCAAAAAAAAAAAAAAATGTACCGACTCCCGACCTATTTTCCTATATCATATCTACTACTCGTTTCTCTTTCCCCCCCCCCCTCTCTCTCTCTCTCTCTCTCTCTCTCTCTCTCTCTCTCTCTCTCTCTCTCTCTCTCTCTCTCTCAAAGAGCCAAAACTCAACCCTCGCAAGCACAACTAGGTGAGTACACACATTCCCAGGAAGCAGCCCGTAGAAGCTGTCTTCTAACTTCCAGGTACTTTTTATTGCTAGGTGAAGAGAAAGATCAGTTGAAAGAAACTGCCCATTTGTTTCCGCCTTGATCGAGAATCTAAGACTCAAATCAAGGAACGTATCATATTTAAATATATGTGACACTTCTCGCCCCCTAACTATTGTGTGGTTGTTTCAGCTGGGCCGGTGGACCCGGAGATCGACGAGCACTTCCGCCGCAGTCTGGGCAAGGACTACCAGCAGCTCTTCGCCTCCTCCACCCCGAAGTCACCGCCCTCTACTGACTCAGGTAATTAGAACATCCCAGCTGATGTTACTGTGTTGTGCAGCTCACCTCGCCTCGTCCGCCACACTGCCTAAACTCTTACTTCAAATACTCAGGCTTTCCCCCCCCCCCAATTGTCTCTTGAACATTGTTCACGCGCGCTACAACGCCCATCCTATTAAAATAACTCTCTTAAAAAACGTTGGGGCAGCGTAAGAGGCTCCCCCCTCCCCCCCTAACCTCCCTCCCTCCCTCTGACGTCACCGTCCTTAATCACCTCTCGTCTTGGTCTTTCTTTCCGTCTTTGTTATACCGACGCGCGTGGCCCGCATCGCTCGCGCCTCAACACTGCTGCCTGAAACCTTTCGAATTCCGAGTGGACTAGAAATGTTTTTGTCGGGCTAAGCCGAGGATCGTGGAGGGATGTGGTGGCGTAGCTTGAGACAGTGTTTGGCCGGCCGCCACAACTCACCATCATCCGCTCAAAAGACCTGTCGCCCACTTAAAGTCTTTCCGGCTCCGCTTTGTGCATTCCCGCACGCCATTTATGCAAGGTGTGAACAAAAAGAAACACTGGCGGTAGCACAGTGCTTGCTTGCTACTCTTGTGCTGGACATTCCGGCCGCTACGGTGTGGGCCAGGGGCCACATGTCCACACCTGGCCAGCGTCTTCCATCACACGGGTAAACACGCACCGTTATCCGGGAGCTGGTCCAGAGCAGCCTAATGGTGCTTCACTACACGGGCAGAAACCCACCAGTTGGATGAATTAGAGTATTACGGGGCTCATCCTCGTCCCGTGGGGGCGGCGGAAAGGTTACAGTCACACAGTCGCTTCAACCCCCAGTCTTCTTCACGCTAAGCCAGTTACATTTACGGTAAACTGGTTAAATGCCAGTTTTAATTTCGTTTAGCCATCACGCAGGCAGTTATCATGCACCCATTACCCATCGGTTACCAAGACAGTCTCGTGCAAGCACTACCAGCGTCGCCCGTCCTCTAGACTTGCCACAACAGACAGGAAACGGTGTACTAGAACACCCGTACCTAACCTAGCCGCAGCCCGGCCTCAGCTTTGTTAGTTCATTAAGGAACTGTGTCCGGGGTGTCCTCCCGGGGTCCCCTGGGGCAGTGTGGCCACGGGGTGTCCTCCGTGTGGATGAGCCACTCAGATAAGAGCTCTCCACCGCGGCCCTCACCTACTCCTCTTATCTTGTCCACAGATAACCACAGCAGCTGTGTATGCGCGCGCGCGCCTCAAGGACCACCTCCAACACTGATCTACCACAATTTTTTACTTTGGCGCCATTTCTTCAGGAGCTGTCGAGGGCGGAGCAAGACGGTGCTTTCGTCCCAAGTACTGTTATATTGTCCGAGAAAAGCTGAGGACGAGAGTCAGAAGTTTAACCCGGCCTCATAAGAGTAAAATATCTGGCAAAAAGACTTGACTTTTATTATGAGTCGTGGTCCTGAGACTCTCTTGAGCGCTTAGTCCTTCCGCTGCGACACTCGCCCTTCTCCCAGTATTGTCTCCATCAGTCTACGTGGGGATAAGAATTGTATTTTTGCTTTCATGAATAGAAAGAACTGACCTGGTTTACCCAGTGGCAATATAAGACATTCATGGTAAACAATGGAAGTGGCACTAAGATAAGTTTTCACTCTCCACATATTACAGTGCACTGGGGTCCCGGGCCATACACTGGGGTCCCCGGCCATACACTGGGGTCCCCGGCCATACACTGGGGTCCCCCGGCCATACACTGGGGTCCCGGGCCATACACTGGGGTCCCCGGCCATACACTGGGGTCCCCCGGCCATACACTGGGGTCCCCCGGCCATACACTGGGGTCCCCCGGCCATACACTGGGGTCCCCCGGCCATACACTGGGGTCCCGGGCCATACACTGGGGTCCCCCGACCATAAACGTTCACGTCAATATAATTATAAAAACAGCCGATAACATCCGGCCTATTTCGTGGTGGGTAAATTACCTATTTCTATTTTATATGAATAAAAGGTCCTCTTCTTTCTATTTATACCACAAAATCATTAACAAATTAAACAATACATTAATATGAAACAAAAATAAGAATAGCTTGACAAGGTGCCGTCAAGTCCACATGGGACTCCGGTCAAGTGAATATCATGAAAAAGGTCACTTGCCAGATGAGTAATGTTGAGAGAGCGCCGAGCCCGGAAGGCTCCACAGCGCTCTCTCTGTCACACAGTATGGAAAAGGTCAAACATACCTTTCTGCTCTCAGTATTCTGCTAATACTGAGAGCAGAAACACAAGGCAAAAAAAAGAGCCTCAGGAAAAACAGGGGTGTGGGGAAGGGGGGCCTTTGACAACACACCTGCTTCCTGTCCCCATCGAGGCGAGTAGATAGATGTGACTCGCGGGTAAATTCAGGTAAGATCAGCCCTGTCGAAGGAATCCGATTCTCAGACGATTTTATCGAGGGACAACCGACCAAAGGTATGGCGGGAAAGGAAAATTTGTCACCTCCCTGAAAACCGGACATTCTAGGAGGAGCGGCCAGTGTTGGCGCCACCACGGCGTGCGACGGCGGGCTGCGGAGGGCTCCGGGGCCTTCTGTCATTAAGTGCCGGCGAGTTAATCGTGTGATGACAATATGTAGCCTAGTGAGAAGTTCCCCGCCCTACCTCTCCAACCTGTTCCGATGGTGGGAACAAGCCCAGGTGGGGGAGGAGTCACCTTAATGGTGAGTAATTGGTTACTAGGAATAGCTGCTGTTGTTGTAAATTCAGCTACTCGGAACAAAAAGTTCCAAGTAGCACGGGCTATGGTGAGCCCATAATAGGAACAGCTAACAATTTCTCCGACGGTTGCAGATCGCGTTAAGAATGAAAGTAGACATCCGAGTAAGGCATTGGTTCCTGGGAGATGGGACAGGCTTCTTTACCAGCGACATCCGTGATGTCACCGGAGGTTTCATCTAGATGGCTGGCAAACCTCGACTGTCTTATGCTAATATCCAGCTCCTTCCATGTGCTGTATAGTCACATACTGGCCTAGCGCCTTCTCCTCATAATTACCTTACCTTCTGCTAAAGATGAAAAACAGTCAATGTTGGATTTTGATAACGAATTGTAAAGTATCAAAGGCGCAGGTCCGCGAGAGCCCCGGGAGAGCCCCGCGAGAGCCCCGGGAGAGCCCCGGGAGAGCCCCGCGAGAGCCCCGGGAGAGCCCCGGGAGAGCCCCGCGAGAGCCCCGGGAGAGCCCCGGGAGAGCCCCGCGAGAGCCCCGGGAGAGCCCCGGGAGAGCCCCGCGAGAGCCCCGGGAGAGCCCACCACAATAACAATCAAACGTTGCCACATGAAAAGTAACTGTCGTAGAGCAGACAAAATCATATGAAGCTCTGCAATAGAAATACTCAATTCAGTAAAAATAACAGATAACGAAAGGTCATCCAATCAGCAGACTTTACTCCCCTATAAATAGAACAGCAGACTCCCCTATAAATAGAACACCAGCGGGTGAACGGCTGTCTTGAAGGTTATAATCTTTAAGGAAAAGACTTTTCAGACTTGGGGGAAGAGGACTGGTATACGACTTTCCAGACTTACCCTAAGTTATTATGGCAATGATAATTGTGCCTGGGCTTCGGACAGGAATTATTCCTGAAGGGTTTAAACCTACAAGAACAAACTCATTATGAGAGATATATCTCACCACCTCTGCTCAAGTGTTTTATAGAACTGTGATGGGTTGCATGGCGGGAAAGGACAATAGCTGGCTTAGAGGGGACCACAATAAGCCTACCAGGCTTCCTGTCCCCAACCATGGAGTTCCTGTCCCCAACCCCATACGCCGAGCCATGCAACCTTAAACTCAGGCGATGACTTAAGACTTGCTAAGCCGGAATACTTTGGTGTGTTGCCGGCTTCTCGAAGACGTTTCAGGAGATGGGAAAATGGATGTGTGCTCTTTGTCTTAGTGAAGGGGGAATGTTGCCAGCGGACCCCTGGTGACACGGTCCCAGCCAGTGTTGTGCTTGCGTGTTGGCACGGCGCACCTCTTGTACAGGTGTGGGCCTCGACGCGCGTGCGCACGTACAAGTGTACGTACGTACGTGCTCTCACACACACACATATAGGGTTCTATTCTGGAATACAATAAGAAACCAGGTTGTGAAGAGCGCCTCCGTCGAGTACACAGTATCAGTTATAGATAAGAGAGCTAATATGCTCGGGGAACCTGTACATCAGTTGATAAACAGTCTAGTGGGACCAAAGAGCCGAAGCTGATCCTTCACAAGCACAATTAGGCGAGTACAGGAATGGATAATGTGAGAGCGTAGTTGTACTCACTGGTTGAGACACAAACGCTCAACTCACAGGTTATATAAATGGTTGTACAGGAAGTGAGTCAGTGGTTAACTCACCCAACCCTCTCATGCTAATTATCACAAATAATTCCCTCCCTCACCCTCTCCTCCGGGAAATATGTTTGAAGTGGCAAATAGCATGAGGGAAGCGGTTGAGGCTCGACACATTCTTGGCATCGTGATCGCTGGCAGCCTCACACCCGTGGCGGGCGAGCCAGACGCCAGGCGGGTGTCGCCCGGCCGGCTGGGCCCTCCCGGATAAACACACCGCCAGAGTAACTGGGCTTCCCAACTTTTAGAGCGACAGGCCATCACCAGGGCAGATGCCTCGCCTGATAGCTTCTTATTGTACTAAACACTTGATACCAGCAAATAAGAACATAAATATATTCACTATATATAATATCCTAGCATATAGTGTGACATGCTCATGTCAAGCCTTCAAACTGTAGACGGTTCGAACGTCTGCCAATCACAAAGCAGCTAAGCCTCTGACGTCATAACTACAGAGCCGCGAGTGGCGCGCATGTAGGCCGATGCCTCATGTCACAGCAGAGATCAGAGCAGGTGGGACCTCTGCTGTGTAGATCTGTGTTTCCTGCGATAAAGAAGTCCAGAAGCAGCCCGGTGTAGTCCTCCACCTCCCAGCGGGTACGACCAGCAACAGTC